CTTGGCATTCTTGTCAAAAATCAATTGCCCATGAATGTATGGGTTTATTTCTGAACTCTCAATTCTATTCCATGACGTATATGTCTAGTCTTATGCCAGTAGCACAGTCTTGATTACTGTAGCTTTGTAGTAAGTTTTGAAGTCAGAAGTGTGCATACTCCAACTTTGTTCTTTTTCAAGATTATTTTTGGCTAGTTATGGTCTCTTGCAATTCCACATGAATTTAAGATCAGGTTTTTTTTTCATTTTTGCAAAAATAAAAGGGGGGAGCTATTGGGATTTTGATGAGGATTACACTCAATCTGTAGATCACTTGGGTGAGTATTGCCATCTTTACAATCTTAAGCAGAAAATGACAATTTTAACATCAAAATTGTGAGTGCCATCATCAACTTTATTAGGGAAAAATGCTTTTCAGTTGAGGCCAGTACATCTGCATGGAGTCTCCCCTTAAACTCATCTAACAAAATTAACAGAACCATATGACACAAAAGGCAGCAGTGGTAGACAGAGAGAAATGTAGCATAAGTTAGAATGACTTCTGCACACTTTGACATGTGAAAGTTATTTCCTCTCTTGATTTCAACAATTTAGGCTATGTAGGAAACAAGATTATACAACAGTAAATAAAAAGTTTATGTGACCAAAACATTAGGAAGACAGACAACTCTTCCCTTGTTCAATCTGCCCTCTCCCCAATCCCTGCCAAGATAAACGAGAGGGAGCTGGATAGGTTTGGTTTTGTGATTTATAACCAAACCACAGACCTGGGACAAGGGCCTTGCACTTCTTGTACAGAACTGCTTAAAACATTAACTCAATGGAAGATCCAAACATTTCCAAAAAGGAAATATTCCAGGAGGGTAAGGGAGTGATAATCATAGCATACTCAACCTTTGCCTGTTTCCCCTGGACCCCAAAATGATATACTCCTATGGGCTTGGAAAACAGAGCCTCTACTCAGAATACATTGTGTCTTAATTTTTCCACGCACTTCTACATCCATTTTCTCTTTCTGATAAATCTTGGAAGGTTTATCAAACTTAGGAAAATCCTGACCTTTTAATAAATTAAACATTCCTTCACATCCCTAGCTTAAGTGTTTTGGCAATGCAGTTGTACCACAAATGCTGGCAGGGGCACTGAATTTCAATTTCCATTGAAATAACATGGACCTCATAACACTGTTTCTAGAGACTGTCCCTTAGTTTAGTCAGACTAGTTAACTTTTGCCTAGTTCCAGTAGAAGAAAGTGAATATCAGAGCTTCTGCTGGAGATAAATCACAACAGGGTCCAGGTCAAGGGGAACGAACCTGGACCAAAGAGAAAGCTGCCCCAGAACTTTGTTCCTTGAAGGGAGGAATCACGTTCTAACTCTAAATCCCAATTACCCCTCACCCAGTTTTTGGCATTTCTTTTATACTTAGCCTACAAGATTTGCTCAGTAGGTACTGACCATCAGTCTCTAATCTAGAGGCCAGCAAAATCATCTGTGAAACTTTCAAAAGATATAGGTTAGAAACTCTGCTCAAATTTTTTTTAGCAAATTTTATTTAGCGGGTCTAAGGGTGGTATCCAAGCATTTCCAGTTTAAAATATTCCATAGGCAATTCATTTGAGAATCCAAGGTTTAAGAAACACTCCCTTCTCTAAACTATACTTCAGCTAACTCTTTTCGCTTAAAAGAATAATACTGTATGGCCACATTGCAGGGGTGGTGGGTCTTCTCTGGGCCTCTAAAAGATTTAAGTCCTAAATTGTACTCGGGCCCTTCATGTTCAATTTGACTAAAGAAAAATAAGTGCCACATCTACAACTGTCCTTCACATCATCCCAGCTATGTCCTTGTAAATTAATCAAGTTTTTAAACATTTTTCTGTATCTTATGACGTTCTGATATCTTTAAAATCTTGCTGGTAAATACTACCCTTCCCAGGGCTAGCTAAGTCCTAAAAACAGTAATCAACTTACTTGGGAGCAACCTTTCATATGCAAAGCAATCAACTCCTTTTAACTCTCACAAACCAAGCCAATATTGCCCGGGCCCTAAATCATGCTAGGGCCAGCCAGGTACCAGGCAACTAGAAACCACTCCTATAGCCCAAAGCCTGCCAGAATTATTCAAATTAGCCAGTCCTAAAAGGCCTAAGGAGCCCTGTCTTGCCTTTTTCAAAAAACAAAGGTTCTGACCTAAGCCTTCCCCTTGCTCCTGCTACTATCTCCTGACCAAAACCTTCCGTGTAGTGTGGCATGCCCTCTTCTCTCTGGAAATGTAATATTCTTTCAATGGCACTGGCCTCTCCATGTTGTCACTCAGTCATTTGTATAAATTAAAATTCCTCCAGTACAAATGAGACACCCCACCCTGCCCATGCCTTTGTGCTGTCTACCACTGTAGACACAAGTCTACCTCTTGTGCTGTCTACTTAACTGATCCAATTGGAAACTATATTACAAACTAACTTAGGTTTCCAAAACCAAGTAACAGCTCCTAAACTCCTTCATACAGAAAAAGCTCTTGGAAGTTCTATTAGCATTTGACACTCAACACTCAGAACTAAATGTAGTATAACTCAGCACTTACACTCCTAGGTATATAGCAAAGAGAAGTAAAAATACAAAACTTGTACATGAATGTTCACAGCAGCATTATTTATAATGGCCAAAAAGTGGAAACAGCCTTGAAGTCCATCAACTGATAAACAAAATGTGGTGTAACCATACAAGGGAATATTATTCAGCTATTAAAAGAAATTAATCCATTCAAGTTATAACAAGGATGAACTTTAAAAACAGTTAAAAGACACACAGAAAAGGCCACATATTGTACAAATCCACTTATATAAAATATACAAAATAGGCAAAGCCATAGAAACAGAAAGTACACTAGTGATTACCAGGGAATAGAGTAAGGGGGAATGGGGAGTGACTGCTATTGGGTACAAGATTTCTCTTTGGGGTTAGAAAATGTTCTGGAATTAGTAATGACGGTTATAAAACCTTGTGAATGTACTACAAACCAGTGAACCATACACTTTAAAAAGGTGAATTTTATATATGAATTATATATATATATTTTTTAATGTGTATGTATTATCTTTCCTCCAAACCTACTCTTCCTGTATTCCATTATTTCGGTACTTGGAACCACATTCAACTCAGGTGCCTGGGCCAGAAATCTACAAATTCTAACAAATAATTAGGTCACAACAATTCAAACGCTTTAATACTTCTCCATTCTCTCCACTCCAACTCCTAAACTCAGGCCACCCTCATTTCTCACCTACATTATAGCAGCCTCCTAACGGGCACCCAATCTTGCCTCTCCAGATCCATTTTTACAATACAACTAAAACATCCTTTAAAAACAAAATCTCTTCCACTATGCAAAGATACAATGAGAAGGTGGCCCTCTGCAACCCAGAAGACAGCTCTCACCAGAACATTACCACGCTGGCACCATGATCCTGGACTTGCAGCCTCCATAACTGTAACCTGATCATATACATGAGTCATCTTTTGGCTTTGTGATACTAAAAGCACAGGGAAGAAAAGGTCACTAGCCTTGGCCATATGGGCCAAACCAATACAATTCTGAGGCTTCAAAACAATTTTTTGCAGGCTATTAATTTGGAGACTACTTACTAGCTTAAACAGCATGAGCAGGACTTACAAACACAGATGTTCTTCCACTTAACGATGGGGTTATGTCCCTATAAAACCATCGTAAATTGAAAATATCTTAAGTTGAAAGTGCATTTAATACACCTAACTGAATATCATAGCTTAGCCTAGCATACCTTAAACGTGTTCAGAACACTTACCTTAACCCACAGTTGGGCAAAAACACAAAGCCTATTTTATAATAAAGTATTGAATAGCTCAAAAATAAAATAAAAACAAAATCTTCAGTGGCTCCCAATGACCCCAGGTTGAAGTTCAAACTCTTAATATGATTTATAAACTCCCTCAAATTTTGGACCGTTGTGAATCCCTCCAGCCAGGCTGGAGACCGTGGGTATCATAACTTCAGCCTCGGCACGCACTGACCCTCCAGCTAAGGGCTCCGGACCTCCAACCCTCCAACTGTGCTACAATATTCAGAAAGGAAGCTCTCCCGTTCGGTCGGTCGGGCCGCATTTGGTAGGTCTCCAAACCCCTCTCATTCCGTTTACCCTAGTTCCTCAGTCAGGTGCGCTCGAGGGCCGCCACTGAATCCGCAAATATTTCCCGTGTGAACCGTGTTGGACCCAAATTTCAACTTAAAACTGAGGCGGTGCCCTCAACTCACCCCAGCTCTTCTTCAACATTTAATAGATTTTGACGGGCGCCGCTGCTCTAGCCGCCGCCGCCGCCGCCACCGCCGCCACCACCACCGCCACCGCCACCGCCACCGCCCAAACCTGTGGCCACATCACCATGGGACGCCAAGCTCCGCTCCGCCTCGCCCCGCCACGGGTCGGCCCGCCTCGCCTCACGCCCTCCGGAAACACTCTTCAACGCGCGCCCGGGCCGCGGAGAACGACGGGAAGCGAGCCTCCCAGACCACTCGGCGCCTGCTCAGACTCGATCCTCCGCCGGGGAGCCGGAGAGCGCATGCGCAGGCGCGAGGTTCTCCGTTGAGATGATGCCGCCGCGGCGCCGGAGGTAGGAGGAGCTGGGCTTTCGGGCTAGGAGTCTACACCCAGGAGTAGGAGGTCCAGCCACTTCGGTCTTTTCTCGCTTTCCAAAGGGAGAAGATCCTTCCTCGCCCGCCTCCAGCTGCGGTGTAGAGGCAGGAGCCGCGCTTCGGTGGAGGAAGCTTGGGGCCGCCTGAAGGAGGAGAGGTGGGGGGACCAGATCCCCACGACGTCGCTACCTGAGGGTCCGTCTGGCGATCGGAATTCGCCGTCAGAATCCTTGGCAGCCTTTCCCAGGTTGGCTCCCCTGACCATTTCCCGTGTGTCACTAGGTCGAGGGGAGCGGGAGGGTCCGCCCCTCACCTGTCCATTCATTCATTCCTCGTCTGCTATGAGCCTGGCGCTGCGGTAGGTAACAACGCTGAGTAGGCACAAGTCGCTGGCCCTCTGGAAACTTGCGGTCTCATAGGACCTGCTACTTCCTTCAGCAAATACTAATTGAGCACGTATAGATGAACTGTTTCAAGGCTAATAACAGAGATGTGGAGACAGCGTAGTGTGGTGGGTGGAATTTCTTTAGCTCCCTACATCCAACAGGATAAAATGCAGTTTGGTTAGCCTGACGTTCCAGGCGCTCGAACACTGATCTCTGCCTCTCCCTGAAGGCTTTTCTCCCACCACCATTTTCTCGCTCGGATTGTACCAACCGATTTGCGGTTAATTAAGTCAACAAATAATTGTCGAGCACTTTTTACCAGTCAGGAGCCTATGAGCCAAAGAGAATACGAAATAAAATAGATGAGTCTGTGCCTTCCTGAAGTTTTGAGCTTAGTAGGGGACAGATAATAAATATAGGACTAAAAATATGAGAGCTGATGCCCTGGGACCACACTGTCTGGATTTGATCCCAGCCCTGCCACTTCAAGAACTGTGTGTACTTGAGCCAGTTCCTCATTCTTGTGCTTGACTCCTTGCTGTAAAGAAGGGATGACAATAGATTCTAACTAATAGGATTGTAATGATTAAATGAGTTAGACTTGTAAAGCAATTGGACTGGTACCTGGCATACAGTAAGCATTCAATAAATGTTATCTATTACATATATTACATATAATTATAACGTGATAAATGCCATTGTGAAAACTGTATGATGAAAGAAAATGGGTACTGGCAAGGGTCCACTTAGATAAGAGATGAGGGGAAGCTTCTCTAAGGAAGTGACATGGAAGATGTGAATGAGCCAGCCATACAAAGTAGATTCTAGATATATGGGTCTGCCTAGCTCTGGAAAACTAGATAAATAATCAGACAGTGGAGATTGCGTTATTGTATTTGAAATGAACTTTCTGCCATTGGGTCATTCAGTTTTGATTTTTGAACTCTACTAAACTGTGCTGATGTAACTAATGATGCCCATAAGGCCCAACCTTTGCATCTGGACAGCATTCTAGTCACTTGAGTTTGGAGAGCTCTTGCTGAGGTGAGAGGATGGAAAGGGGCCTATTTTTGATTTGGAAAAATTGATTGTACCAATGAAGGATCAGCCTCCTGTATAAGGATCTCCTGAGTATTCAAGAGAATATTCTTTCTCTTTTTCTTACCCCCTCTGCCTCCCTCTCCCTCTTCCCTTCATTACATTACCTGCTAATAGAGCCTCTAATAGCTGGAGGCCTTAGGTCTAGATTCGGGGATCAACATTTTTCTGTGGTGACTGCTCTTCATGGGATTCATTCTCCAGATTTCAGCAAAAACAATACCAAGATGCCCACGTTTTTCTGCCTGTGAAAGCATGCTTTGACAGGTTTCTAGATACCCTCTGTTTGTTGTGATATCCTATAGGATGATGGGTCTGTGTTAATCAGGCTGAACTTCTGTGTATTTGACAGGGGTATTGTTAGTTTCATACTCCACATGCTCTTGTACCTTCCTGGAAGAAATGGCATAAAATGACAATATCTGTCTAATTACATACACTTAGATGCTTTTGGTTTTCCACAGATGTGAAATTAAATGAACCAAGCGCGTTTTACCACCATGGGGATCTTGGAGCATAACCTGAGCACCGAGTTCATATGTATTCTATCTCAGAGGCATCTATCGGACAGCAACACCTATCACATGTGAACTTTAACAGAGGGAAGATTTAAATCTTCTATTTCACACAGGCTCAATCTGAAGAAAGACATTTAAAATTATGGAGGGAAAAACAGTAATTTTTGCTCAATAGTGCAGACTCTCCAGGTATCTCTGAAGTAGAGAGGAGCCCTAATGAAGCTGTGAATCTGAATTAGGCCCAGCTAGACTCGTTCTCGGGCCTCCAGATCAACCCTCACTCCTCTGAAGACCAGCTTAAAGAAAATCTTACAACTGATCAGATGATGGATGAGTCAGATGATGATTTTAAGGAACTCTGTGCCAGTTTTTTCCAAAGAGTGAAAAAGAATGGTACCAAGGAAGTGTCAGGGGAAAGAAAGACACAAAAGGCCTCAAACAGCACTCAAAGAACCAGCAAACCGAAAAGGACCAAACCAACTGCCACCAAGAGCAAAACCCTTCAGGGCCCCAGGGAAAGGAAAACTCGATCTGGTAGCCAGGCCCCAAGGACAAAAAAGCAAGGGGCACCCAAGTGGCAGGAGAGTGAATCAGCTCCCCCTGAGAATGGAGAACGAAGTGTGCTTGCTTCTGCTGTTCTCTGGGAGAGTGCACAGAGCACCCAGACAGGTAACCCAGCCAGAAACTGCTAGAACTTCCAGAGAGGAAGCCAGGGGTGATTTGTACTGTTTGAAACCAGGAGTTGGAAAACTTTCTGAAAAGGGCCAGATAGTAAAATTTTTTGGTTTTGCAGGCCATATGGTCTCTGTTGCAACTCCTTAACTCCCTAGACAATATGTAAACAAATGAGCTGTGTTCCGACAAAACTTTGTTTACGGAAATAGGCAGCCAGCCTGAGGACCATAGTTTGCCAACTCCTGTTTTAAAAAACATAGTCATAGAAAATATAACCCCTGTGTGTGTGTGACTTTTCCATATATGATTATGCTTGGGAGCCTTCGCTTTCTCAGTTTCCTATTAATATTTACATTATGTAGTTGTCGTGAGTTACATGAACATGAAAATAATATTGCTTCTCTCATTTTCTCAAATTCATTCCAAAGTTGGTACCATATGAATTTATGTCCCAGGAGAATATCTTCAGGTCCTTCCTTTCTCTTTCAAACACCTTTTATTCTCCCCCCGCCTTTTTTTGTTCATGTTTGTTTAAGCAGCTTTCTTATCCCACTGCCGTTGATGTACTGAACCATATGCTTAGCATACATTCTTCACGCAGGGCTGAAAACTAGCCTTGCATAGATAATACAGCACAAGATCTTTGGCCTCCTGAGTTCTGCTTCTAAATTTGTCTCACCTTCAATTCCTGATCTTAAATAATATTTTTTACCTGGTGTGGTCAGGATGACCTCTCAGTGGAATGGTGGTTAAGACTTAGCTCACAGAGGCTGTTGTAAGGCTTCAGTAATGTTGCTGAAATATTATTGGTCCTTCATGCTCCTTCTGAGATTTTAGTGAAAGCTATGCATGATTCCCCCAGGAAACTGCACCTCCACACACACACCTGTGAAAGTGACATACAACTTCAGGGGCTTGGCGGATCCCCACTGGGGGCCATCTGTGGACACCAAGTTAAAGGAGAACATCTGACCTAGAAAGATATAAATGTTTGTTATTAATATTTCTTTAATAACAGCTTTATAGAGATATTAATAATCTACAAAATTCATCCTTTTAAAGTGTACGGTTCAGTGGTTTTAGTGTATTCAAATTGTGCAACCATCACCTCTATCTAATTTTAGAACATTTTCATCATCCCAAAAATAAACCCTGTGCTCATTAACAGTCACCCCCATTCCCCCTCCTGTCATAGATCTTTATGGCAGTTATATTTATATTACCACAAACATTGAGGTTACTAAGAAACCATCAGTCCTATTCACACTTGAGAGTTAAACCTAAAGAAGTTGGTAAAGGACCCCTTTGAAACTTGGATCTAACCTATATCTGGTGGAAGAGTCTTTTGTTTCTCTTGCTAGAACAGACACCTGTGAATATTTTCCTCCTTGCCAGAGGCTGCTCCCAACAGCGACTCCCAGCCCCCTCCTTTCTGTCTGACTGCGATGGTGCCAAGTCCCTCCAAACCCCGGGCAGCTGAGCTGATCCTACAGCGAATGCAGCAGTTCAAGAGAGCAGACCCAGAACGTTTGAAACATGCTTCAGAAGGGTGCTCACTCCAGGCTGCACTTGAAGAAAATGTCCCAAAGGGCCCTCAAGAGGCGATGGCAGGGAATGGTACGATGGGAATTTTCTGTCTTCCCAATAGGGATAAATTCTAACTCTGAAGGAGCGGAGGAAGAAGGAGCTTGCTGAGGGTGGGCTCTGCCTGGCGTTCGTTCTACCTTTGCCACTTCATTGTGTCTAGCTAGAGAACAAAGTGTCCCTTCCGTCATTTCTTACTTAGTTTCTTTGACAAGACACCTCTTTTAATTGACTTTTTATTATGAAATTTTCACACACAGAAAAGTCAAAAAAATATATTACAACAAAACCCTTATCTCCTCAACCTAGATTTAACAATTATTAACATTTTGCCATATATATTTTGTCTCTATAAACATACATGCTTCTATTGTACCATTTGAAAGTAAAGTATTAACATCATGATGCTTTATCCCGAGGTTCTCCTACATAATCA